AACGTTTCTTACCGCGTGTAAAACCACGGGGAGATGAATCGAGGGATGCATGCTGCGGAATTTACGTGCCAGTCCAGCCTTGTGAGTGATGCATTGCCTTATGTGATGCTGGAGAACATCTTCAGAGCAGTTCAGACTTGATGTGTTGACCCAAACATCGATCGTTGATAGCCAGCCATTCCGTGAGCCGCCCCATCCCCCCATGGATGGAGAGCGGGACGCACAGAGGATTGAGCATAGGAGAGTCTTCATGAGGAGCATAGTCCTCCGCCTCTCGCATATGAGTCCGTGGTGTCCCATGCATCTGGAATGTTAAGTGCAGTGGGTTTGCTATTAGTCAGCAATGCAAGATCCAATGCTGCTGTTGTGAATTTCAGCAGCAGCACTGTGCTCCTCCTGCTCCACATCAGTGCCATGCTAGGCGTGGCAATCCAGATTCTCAAGACCATGCCGATGAGAGTGAGCCGTGGAAGTCTCTCATGAGCCCTTGTTGAAAGTGGGAAGTAGTGGTGTGGAAAGCTTGCGTTTGAGGTGCGGGTGGAGATGGGCTCATTGCAGTAAGGTGATAGCTCGTTCCCATTGCCTTGCTTTTGTATCCTATCTCCCTCGTTGCCTCCCGACATGCTTCATATGTTCTCCTCTCTGTGTTCCATATGTTATCCTCTCCACTTGCGAAGCATTGCACAGCATGTTGCTGGAGCTGGGCCTCAGCCCATTCGTTGATGGCTAGCATTTATGAAGGCTTCATTGGATGTTGATACAGAGAATTAAGTTTAAAGACAATTGGCCAACTTTTATGGTGGGCTTAATCTATGTTGGCTGGATTGTTCTTTGCAAAGCATGTATGCAAGGCGATTTTACAAGGAAATTTATCAAATCTTCCGCAAAGTCAATGCCATATTCTGTCAAGAACCAAATCCCTGGAGAGCTTTAGGAATTAATATATGCATAATGAAGGATAGTTAAGTAATTTGATGATGAGAAGTTTGACATATGTTATCAAACATATTATCTAGCATAGCAATCAGGGATGCTCAACATCCCACACAATTCTCCCAATTGGAAATAAGAAATATCACAAGTGCCATTTCCTACTCATCCATTCCCTTTGAAAACTTTCTTTCTATTCTGCAGGGTGGAGTTTTATATATAATGTTGTTGTATAGGGCAATATTGCTTCTTCAATGGCAACTAGCACTTGTTCAATGTTTTGTGACCAATCTATTCCCTTCTCTTCCAATATCATGGAATATAAGTATATGAAAATTTTCAAAACTAACATATTGGAGTACAATCTTAATTATTCTTAAACTCTTAGGAATACTAGTCTCAACTAGAGATATACTTCAATTTCCTTTAATCTTTCAGTCTAGCATCATTTCAAATTGGTATTCAGATTAGAATATTGCTAGCCATTTGAGACAAGTATAATAGTTGTTTTGAATCGTTAGGATCATCCTTTAGTGATTTTAATCCACATTGAGTTATAATTTAAATAGATTGCTACTTTGTCGCTAGATGGAGAAAAAGTGTTATATAAGCTCATATTTTTAATGCATCAAGTATTCTTTACAAATCAAATATTTATTTTAATAGCTTTTTTTCTGCAGGCTATTTGCAAAAGAACACCCACAAGGTGTACGACCTGTTTAGTATTTTGGTTTAACACATAAAACCTTCTCTAAACTCAACGTTCAAAAATAATCCTTTATATTTATATTGTAAAATTAATCTTCCACCACCTTATAGTCATTCATGTTTGGAAGTGTGATTTTGTGGCAAGGAAGCAAGAGCAACAGAAGGTCCTCCACACAAGCTAACTTCTCAAGTTTAACCAGCTGCCACCTCCATGTAAGGGTACTTTCCACGAGCTCAAAGGGTAGAGAGCTAGCTCTTGATTTTTTTTGTTGTTCCCTAAGCTCCAATCTGTTAGGAGTGATGCAAAGAGACTGTTATTGATCAGGCCAGGGATTTCCAACTCAAAGCTATGTTTCTCATACCTGAAAAGTGTATCCATGAAATATACATATCCTCTTGTCGTTTCTCTTCTAAATAGAAGACAAGTGCCTGAGGTTGTACATATCGAAGTACAAACCAAAGAAGCAGATCACCTGCGACATGTCAATCAGCAGTCGAACGAGGTGAGCAGCACATAGTTGATCCTCTTCCAGTCGATCCACTTTCCTGTAACCAATGGTGCTACCGTTGCTCACCAGGTACCAGCCCAGCTCGCTGTTCCATGCCTCGACGTGATATTCCATGACCCTTTGTCCCATGTTTACTGGCTCTCGGATCTCCAGTGCGTTGAACTTTGAGACCTTGCCAAGATCAAGCTCGATCCAGCCGGTCGACTCCCCTTGCATTGGCGCTCGTCAAGGATTTGCTTCGGCCCGAACGAAGAGCTGCGAACGCTGCTTGCTGTCACGGACAAGGGATTCGCTGCTAAGTTGACGCTGAAGATGAAATCTATGGCGGAGCGAAACCGCTCCAGCGTCTGGAAGTCGGATTCGTCGATCAGTCCCGACGAGTTTGGAGGGACGTTGAGCAGGAGCAAGCAGTTCCTGGCGGATGATTTGTAGAAAACGTCGAGCAGCTGCTCCAGGGATTTTGGAGCCTCGTTCCTGTGCCAAAACCAACCGGGCCTGATGGAGATATCGCACTCCGGAGGGAGCCAGTCGGTTCCAGCACTCTCTCCAGACATCAAGTACCTGTTGATGTTGCGAATTGGATCGAGTTTCACGAGAACGAAGGTTTCATGGAAGGATGGATTTTACGTACTGGCCATCGCTCCTGGCGATCGTAATGGAAGATCTGTTCGCCATCGCCCAGCATGGTTGTCCGGCCTCGCCATACTCGTTCCCAACCCATCGGATGTCGGGGCCAGCGTCGGAAAAGATGTTGGCACCGGGGATGAATCGTGTCAAACCAGAGCTCAAAATCGTAGCTCATGTTCACTGCAGTGGGTGATTTCGCACCATCCAGCCACACCTCGGAGATCGGCCCATATCTGCACGCCAAAACAAAATGCCGCGTCAAGGCATCTGCTGCTAGAGATGAAAACTACAAAAGCCCACAAGCTCGCGAGCTCCTAATGCTAAAACCATTTGATGGGCTGGAGCAAATGCAAACATATCACACAGTGACCATGCCACCAAGAAAAATGCGTGAAGAAGAAGCAAAGAATGTCTCACTCACCCAGTAAGAAGCTCTGGGAGCTGAGCCAAGTAGAACTCGTTGTAGAGAAGAATGTCGCCATAGCAGCTCTCGTGCAAATCCCATGGCGAGAGGTAAAAGCCCACGTCCAATCCACGCTCCCTGGCGGCGGTCACGAACTCGGCCACCACATCCCCCTTCCCTCCTCGCCAAGAGCTGCTAGCCACGGAGAAATTGGTGTAGGCCGAGGGCCACAGGCAGAACCCGTCGTGGTGCTTGACCGTGAGGATCACGAGCTGCGCGCCCGCGGATTGGGCCACGTCCATCCACTGCGACGCATTCAATCGCTCCGGGTTGAAGATGGAGGGCGATTCGTGGCCGGATCCACGCTCCGAGTCCGTGAATGTGTTGACGCCGAAGTGGAAGAACATCGAGAGGCGGCGCGAGTGGAACTGGAGCTGGCGCCATGAGGGAATTGGGCGGAGAGGGAGCGGTGGGGGCGAATTTAGGGCGACAGCTCTCAAGAACACTATTATCTCGAGGAGCAAGAAAGAGAGATGGAAATTCATTGCTATAGAGAATGGAGGAGAGAGCCAATCTTATAAGCCCAGTGGAGTAGAGGAATTCTCACCAGAGAGTAAAATCTTTGCTTCTTCCATAAACTGTGCTGGATCTCACACGCATTCGCGATTCGCGAGGTATTCCTTGCGAGAATCCGAGAATCCTGGACGGAGAAAGAACATTCCAATCTAGCTTGGAGATCACGGCTAAGAAGAAGAAGATAATCCATCTTGCCTTGCACGTACCAGAAATTTTCTATGTAAAAATCTGGCATTGCTCTTCCCCAATTTCGTGATTTCCACAGACACCTCAGAGGATTGCTTGCTCTCCTGGGGAGCACCGCTCAAGAACTGCCGGGATCTGTCACAGGGGAGGCAAATCCACGCCCGCATTGCGCAGAGCGAGCACCGCCGCAGCAAATCTGCTCGTCCAGATGTATGGCAAATGCGGCAGCGTCGGTGACGCCCGTGCAATCTTCGAATCCATAGAGAATCCTAAGTTCTTCTCCTCCAACATCATGATCCAGGCCTACGCACAGGCGAAAGATCTAAATCGAGCGCGCAGAACGTTCGATGGGATGCTCTGGCGAGATGCCTCGACGTGGAACTTGATCGTCACGGCATATGCCGACAACGGGCATCTTGATAAAGCGCGAGAGATTTTCAAATTGGCTCCAGAGAAGAACGAGATCTCTTGGAATGTGATGATCACGCTTTGCATCTGGCTTCTGCCAAGGATTTGTTTGATCGGATGCCCGTGAAGATGATTGTTGCGCAGACTACCCTCGTCACAGCATTTGCCAGGAAAGGGCATTTGGAAGAAGCCGAGGCTTTGTTTGAGAAGTGGAAGAGGTGATGTTTCATAACGTTGTGCCAAATGAAGAGTATTGTTAAAGGTGGTTAGAGCAAGTGCATGCATAAATCCGACAAAATCTTGATAAAGTGCTAACCACAACATTCCTAACTTGATCTATTTTGACATATTTGGCTCTGCACGAAACAATAGGTTTTGGAAACAAATGCCAAATTGCATTATCAACTCAAATAACCCTTAACAAAGATAATGCAATTATTAGAAAGTATCACCATAATTGTCAACATGTCCGAATGTGCGTTTGAAGACGTTCGGGAGAACACTTTAATCCCCATGAGTGGCTACACTCAAACTGTTGTACCACTACAATGTTGTCCCTTGGAGACACATGGGAAATTCATGTAAACATTGAGTATCATTTTAAGAATGATATATAATAATCACTGTGAAGTAATCAAACTAATGATACACATCATCCTTAGGATTTCTGCAAAAGAACTCCAACCGAATGCAAGGATTGGCATCAAGAGTAAGAGGAGCTGTACCACATACTATGAATGTTGCCATCAGTTGAGTTTAGTTGTTCAATTGCAATTGCATAATATTAAGTAATT